TGTGTATACATCTGTGTCTCTGGGTATCAATGCATGAGTGTATCTGGAAAGATGAGGGCAGCCAAGGAAGGTCGCAGTCCCCAGTGTCGGGGGTTCCACAGAACAGAGGCCCAATCAGTGCTGGCCCGCTGGTTAATGGATGGATGGCCCCCAAAATTAATTAGCCTGACTAATGTAGTGTACACTTAATTACACTGGCTGCCTTTTGATTTATAGCTGGCCTGATACACACATGCTAGTCAAAGTCAGGCTAAAAAGGGAAAAATTGTTTAGCCTTTACTAGCGCAAATTATTTACCAGGGTTAGGTTCAGCAGCCCGGACAATGGACCTGATGAACTGCTGCTGGTTTTAGTTAGACACTCCAGATAATATACGCGTTGTTTCTTTCCACTGTCTGAACAACAACCACTGTAATATTCATATTGCATTATCAAAAAGGAATAAATAAGGTGGCTGTAGATTGGAAATGACTGAGGTCCTTGCACCCACATGCTCAATAAGAAAACATGACATTCATGAGAAAAGTGATGTCCAAAAAAAACATGTTTGGTTGTAATTCTGCTCCCATAGTCACGAGCATGTGCACTGAGTGATTGCACTGTGTGAAAAATGAATGATCTATCACGCTGCTCTGTCATTACTAGGCATTTTACAGCATTCATTAGGAGTGGGGCTAGTCTAGGGCCCCACCTTTAATTTCATGCTGCTCAAGCGAGAGAAAGGACACAGGACAAAGGAAGGAAGATTGATGCCCAATCCAGCCCTCTCCACTTCCTGCAGGTGCAGACAGGGGGTGCTATTCTTAGTGTATCTCTCCAGTCAATGAGAGGCCAGCTAGTCTAATGAAATCTGTCCATGTAGCAGCAGATCAGGCCCAATTAAAACAGCCCCGCACCATGTCACGGGGACAGTAGATCAAGTCAGCAATTAACCTCCCCGCTGGCCTCTATCAATCCTTAAATTGGAGCGGGCTGGCCAGCAGCACACAATCTCTGCAGATATTAAATTTACATTCTATTAAGTTTAATTAGGAGGGATTTTAAATATACTAGGAGTCCAGGCACAGAGCCCTGAGCCTGTCATCGACACTGTTGATTCACAGCCACGGGCCACCTCGAGGGACACGCATATACTCTTTAATACACGCCATCTTTTACCACCTTCTGACTGAAGCGTGGAACCATAGAAAAAAAGATGTTCAGTGTAGGTGTGCACGGTTCGACAAAGGTTATATGATCTGGCTTCTTAACTGAGAGCCCAGCCTGGGAGCAGCTGTAGGGTGAAAGGATGGCAGCAGATTTCAATAATAAGATTAAGTGTACAGGTACAGGTTGACTGTTGTCACCTGAGCGTTACTTAAAACACAGTGACTAATGGTTTGTGTGGGACTTTATATTAGCTGTCTTTCAATGACTGCTATTTTACAATAACAATGTGCATACAGGGAATCCTTACGCCATTTCAGTCCTTAACTGGAAATTTCAGTCCAGATCCTCACCTATTAAATATTAATCGTTTCTGTATTTAACAAATTAACATTTAATTATAAACATTAACTGCTGGTTGAACAACCACTGGAGATCAGGGTGTTTCCTGGCATGTCCCCTTGGGCTCTGAGCAATTACGGCATCGTTTCAATTAAACATTTTAGCAACAAAGCTGTTAACTGAATAACGACTGAAAATTTTTTGGCTTAATTTATCATTAAATGAGTTGTTCTGTCTAACTTACACAAAATTCTTTTTGCCAGTCAAGATTATCGCTGGATACTAAGGTGCACTGAAATTTACAAACGTGGTCAGTTAGACCCGACTGTCAGTATTGAAACATCTTTGAAAAAAATAAAAAATAAAATGGACTGTTAACAGCCTGTTTCACTCACAGAATTTTACTTTTTTGGTTTATTTTAAGCCTAACAGTCACCTGCAGTGAGCGGTAGTATCTGGCCTCGATTGTGAATGAAGAAGACCAAACACAGCCTTTGGGGGTAACGTTGGTCTAACAGGTTTCAGGGCATTCCTTCAAAAACATGAGACTCAGACTCCCTAAAGGAAGTTAGAGATTGATATGCAGCCGTGTTTTAATAGCATGCTCTATCTTTACACCGCTTATCATGGATGTCCTGAATGTGCCTTGAACATGAGCGCTTGATAAGGGATATAAATGGACTGATTCAAAACGTCTCCTTTGTACTTCTTTGTTTTATCAGCACTGATGCAAAGCATGATCAAGCCAAATCATGATCACACCCATGGGAGAGGAGAGAGAAGGTTGGCGGGGCATGGACCACCTCCAGGCTGCTCAGCCTGAGCATTAGTCTCCACGTGGCTGTGTCTTTTGTCTGTGAGTCAAAGGGCCGCTGAATGGGGGTCAATTGAAACCAATTCCCTCTGTCGGACACAATTAATGGGGTTGCCCAGGGTGGGCAGGAGGGGGGCAGCCGCAGGCCTTTGGTTACTGATCCTGCCGCGCAAGCATGCCAGGAATTTGCCACCTGGAATTTGCCCTGTGACAATGACAAACCCACTGCCTTCCGAACCCACCTCCTTCTCTGTGCACACACGGATACATCCTAAAATACTCCCTGTCCCATCTGCCCTCCCACAAGGCAGGATGGGTGACATGGGAGTGGCTAGATGTTGTCCACAGTCTAGTCCCCCACAATGGACAAGAGACAGAGAAGAAGAGGAGTGGTGTAGCGTGCAGCTGTAGAGAAATGTACTAGAGTATTTTCTGATCCAGTGATTCTCAAAGTGAGGCCTAGGGAGCCCTCTGGGTGTTTTGAGAGCTGTCCCCAATGCACAGCAAATCAAAAAGCCAAGTAGTTCAATTTTGCAAATATTTCATCCACTTAACACAGCAAAAGTACACACAAGTATCTATTCATCAGTTTGGCTATTTTGTTTTCCCCCAGCCTGTTTCTATCGATTGAAAAAAAGAGAACGAAGAGCGAGAAAAGCAAAAAAATGAGATTCTTAGACAGGGAGAAAGAGCGCCAGCCTCCCTGTGCCTGAATCAATCTTCGGATAAGTATGGACGATCGATCCGCTAGCAGCCCATCTACAGTTAAGCACTTCAGTAGATGTGCACTAATTGTCCTGTTGACATTAATTGTCATTAAAGGGCTTAAAACGGCCTCCCGGCTGTGAGTTACACCCTGCGCAGAGGTTGCAACCCATTTGTTTATATTGGTGACATCACAGCCCTCTCTACGGCTAACACGCAGGTCGCCGTTAAATCAGACAGGTTGATCACCGGATCACATTTCGGTCAGATGACATCATCAGCTTTTTTTGGTCCCCATTAAATGTTCGGCTTGTTTGAGGAACCCTCATTAAGCTGGAGGAAAGGTGAGTTTGGGTGCAGTTTATACGCCGGCCTAGTGCTCCAACTTCCCATTGGGAACAGGGCGAATCAATCAGTCATTAGGTCTAACAAATTGGTTTGTGCGTGTGTGTGTGTGTGTGTGTGTGTGTGTGTGTGTGTGTATTCGCATTGGATGTGACTGTGTAAGTGAATGGGGCCAAGGTGCATAAGAAAGGAGTTCTATGGAGGGGAAAGGGGGGCAGAAATGGGGCACACACCGATGCAAGCCTGACACATCCCTGGAAAAGGGGTCACGACCCCTTACTGCACTCAAACAGCATTTCACAGCAATGCAGACACAGAGAGGTGGAGAGTTTACCGACCACAGAGCAGCTTGGACAAGACAGGAAACATGAGGAGAGAGTTATCTATAATTAGCTGCAGAGGATAAACACAGATAGACTCTGAATCATCTCATCTGACTTTATTGGATGCTTTCCTTTCAGCTTAATGCAGCCATATTCCCTGCCAGTACTGGCATTGAAAATACAGTTTTCCTTCATATCTGAAGGCCTGGAACACTGTGTCTTTTTTTCCGCAGAGATGATAAGATTTAAAACAGCCCATCGTTGACAGAAAATCAATGTGGCATCCTAAATGTGTGCCAGGTGACATGTAATTGCAGAAGCTGACTTCTGAATAGCCTCAGTGTGTTTGTACATCTGCTGCTGTGCATTCTGTTCGTGTATTTATTATCTCCAAAGCAACGCATGCTCACATGACCAGCGGCTTAATGTGATCCAATTACAGCACCAAAATCAAATGTACTGCATAAACTTTGAGGCCATTAATCAATGCCCACGATAGATCGCTGAGTAAAAACATGTGATGTCCATCCCACTTAGCTGGCTGCCACAGAAGAGGCGGTGATTTACTGCCCCACCTAGTGCCTGGATGGCTAAACTACAAAAAAAAGTTTTTTTCTGTGCCACACAAAGTTAAGTCCTTCCTAACTCATTTAAGCATTCAAGCCCTCCATTCAGAAAGCCTCCCCTCCTCTTCCCTCTCCTCTGAATAGGGTTGAAATGAACAATGCTCACACCTTGAGCAGGCCCACTGATTCGTGGACCATTGTGCTGGAGAGGAGGGAGAAGACCCGCTAACAAGTGTCACCCCTACTCTGTTACCACAACGCTGTCTGCAATGTCTTCTATAATTTCCTCATCTCCCCAAGGAGAATACTAAACGACGACCTTAGCCATGGCTACGTTTGCACCAAAAGAAGGAAGGAGGAGGAGGAGGAAGAAGAAAGAGGGGAGGGAAGGAGCCAGGGAGGAAGGGAGAGGAGAAAGAGCTGTGAATGGCACCATAACATAACAATGCACTCCGAGGCTCGGTCGGCAAACACAGCTGGGCCGGCCACAGTGAAGCGTTTAATGAGTCATAACTCTAAAGAGACAGTGAGGCTCTAAAACCACTTTTACTATACTGCGGTCACCCTCACAAACACAGTCACACACACAAAGGCTTTATGGCACGATGCTGTATCACTATGGATTTGATAGCACGTAACCGCACGTGTGTACAGTGTGTCATTAGCTCTCTGTTGTGCCATTACATCCCCATAACGCCCAGATAATGTATACAGATAGCCATCCATTACTAATATGTCAAGAAAACAAACCCTACTCACCTCAATAACTTTCTTAGAGTCCAACCTGAAGTTAAAGTCACCGAAGACAAAAAATGGCAGCTTCTCATACCGCTGGTCTGTGATCCTGCAAAACATTAACACAACAAACACACAAAAACATAAATAATAGAAAAAATCTGACATTCATCACCATCAGGTGTCAAAGGTTATCAGTTCCTTTGACTCAGGCTGTTAAGTTCATGAGGGCCTCAGCACCCCCTGGTGGTCTGATCACTTCAATTAAAATTTTTTGTGATCTGATCCAAGCTTTCAGCACTTTTGCAGCACTCAGCAGGCAGAAAACAGGAGAAACATTTTATCTGAAGCCTCATTTTTAGTATGAAGGAGAATGAAGAAGAAAATTCTATGAAATTGCTGCATTTGTCTTTTAAAAAATATCTAGTGATCCATTTGCAGGATTTTCAACTCCTGACTGATACGCTGCTATTAAATGACCTAAGTCCAGTTCACCTTTGGATACATGCGAGGGCTTCGAGTAAACGCTGCTTTCAGCTTGAAAACAGTCATTCTCAGCTGACGCCACAATTAAATGAATCAAGTGTGACCGTTTCCTTTGACAATCTGCTTTGATGGCAAAGAAAATTCACTTTGCTGAACTAATCAACGTGTGAGTAAACCAGACTCAACCCTGTTAACTTATTAAGCGCTGAGAGGTTTAGAGCCAAAGCGCATTTTCTGATTTGGTGCTAAGGCACAAAAAGCACAGAGGAGCAGCATTTTCTTATGATGCACACATCTGGGACAGACTCGTATAAAACCAGAGGTCTTCGTTTTTTCACACGAGGCTGATTTGATAACCGAGTTAAAAGAATGTGCATGTAGCTGAAGCGGAAAACCAGGCATGAATTTATTAAACGTTAAGATGGCAGAAAGGAGAAACTGCAGACAGTGAGACAGAGAGAGAAATGTGCTACGTCATCAACATAACTTATTCTTGTGTGATTTATGGCACTGATTTTTGCTTGCCAGAATTTTCTTATACGTCTCTGTCACTGATATATGTAGTACTGCGAGTGCAAGTGGGCACCTGTAAGCCTGGACCTCGGCTTGGATTTGTTTGCCACGGTGGAAAGGGTTTTATCTCATTTCTATGTGCTTTTTAAACAATCCCTATCATGTAGACTTTGGTGTTTTATGTTTCAAAACGCAACGTAGCTTGCCATCACCAGTGTGTGAATGTGTGTGTGAATGGGTGGATGACTGGATATGTAAAGCGCTTTGGGGTCCTTAGGGACTAGTAAAGCGCTATATAAATACAGGCCATTTACCATTTACCATAATTGAATTCTCAACAAATGAAAATCTGAATGAATTAAGAGATTCTACTTAACTTCCTTTTAATCTTTCTTCTCATTTTGTTCAGTGTTTTTTTGTACCTGTTAATATAAATTTGATAAAAAATGGTTTTCCTACACTGAAGGTTTCAAGACAAATAAACCTGCTGGTCCCGTACCCAGCGGGCTAATGCACCTACATATTCTGCCATGTTCTGTTTTAGTTAGACCAAGTGAAATTGCTCTGCCGATGCCTTTTAAAGGTCTTCAAAATCCACCAGAGTTTATTGCTGGCTGATGTTTTAATGCACTAAATACCCTGCTTCTTTAAACCTTAAGCATATACAGTCTATGGATTTGCAGATCCTCTCTGATGTGGACCGCTTCCAAATCTCCAGAACTTCACCACACCGCCAGCATCCCAGTGCTTAAAAAAAAAAATAATGCACCTAAGCGACATATAATTAAGTCCTACGCCTCATCACCTACTTAAAAGTGTCTCTTCTACAGAGCAGAGATAGGAAATTAAAGCTCTTGTGTAATTAATGATTCAGGATGCTTGGCTCGCTATCCCCACTAATCGCACGGATAAATCTCACCGTGGACTTCCCAGGCACAGATAACAATATATTTATGAGGCCGTAAAGAGAGAAGAAGGCTTTTCTTAGCGCCGGGTCTCGGTCTGCCCGGCTGTCGTAAAGCACAGCCACTTCTTTTCTGTGTGGTGGCGAGGCGAAGGTGACTGAAGTAAGGAGGCGGGGGAACACAGCTATTATATTAAATAGAGAGTATGCAGTTTGACATTCCCTTATATTAAGCAGAAACTGCACACAGCAGTGTGGAGCAGTGGAAATGGCACTTGGTCTCCATATACTTTCTTTTAAGCTGATGCCCGAATAACCAGCATCTCTTTAAACAAGGCTGGCTGGTGAATTGCTGGCTATACTGAGCCCACATTTTCTCAATGGTTTGTCTGCACATTTCTCCAAACATTTTTAGGTTCTCTGCACTGAAAGTAATAAACATAGCTTACATAAACCAAAAAAAACACTAGAGGTAACCTTCGAAAGGCTGTAAGTCACCTGAAAACCTTTAATTTATGTGTCAAAATAAGGTTATGGTGCCCATAAATAAGCCAAAATGATCAGTCCTTTTAATGTGTAATGTGTAAAAGTACACTGCTCAAAATGTCTACCCTCCATGTTTTCACTAAGGCACTGATGCTTACTATACCTAACTATTATCTTTCTGAGTATAACTGACTGCTGCTCTCTATCCTAATGTCTAAAGTTTACTTTCTAAAGCACGGGCAGGTTAAACCAATAAAAGGTTTATGTAACATCTTATGTCGAGCTCAACTGATAAGACCAATATCAATACCGATATTTGGTGATCTAAAATATCTGCCGACTTCTCTAACGCAGTTTAACAATAATCTTATTTTATTATCACAACAGGTTGTGGATTACTCATTTATCCTCTGCCGGCCTGTGCAGAGGATATCAAAATCAAAAAAAAAAAAATTATAAAATTATATGCACATTTAAATACAGGTTGAACCAAAGTGCTGTATATAGTAGAGATAAAATAGCAAACATACATAGTAATTACTATAAAAGACTAGTCATTCATTCTAGTCAGTGTTTTCAACCGGGTTTTAAAAATGTCGAGTGCTGGCAAAGGCCTAATGTGAAGGGGTAGACTGCTCCAGAGTTTGGGTGCAGCGATCGCAAAAGCTCGGTCACCTCTGTTTTTCCGTCTAGTTCTGGGGATAGTCAGAAGCAACTTATCTGCAGACCTAAGGGCTCTACTTGGATTATTTTTTGTTAAAAGGTCCGAGAGATAAGATGGAGCTAATCCATTCAGAGATTTACAATTAACAAAATCTTGAAGTCGATTCTACGATGTACTGGTAACCAGTGTAAACGTGCCAGGATTAGGGAGATATGATCACATTTGCGAGTGCGTGTCAGGAGTCGGCCGCCAGCTGTCATTCAGGATAAGTGAGTGACAGCTGGTTGTTGCGTTTGTGGCATTTCTCTGGTGGACAAACTCTGTAACATTAGAACTCATAACATGACTGAAAGGTGTTCTCTGTGTCTCATTATGTGGAGACCCTCTGGCGTAACCAATCACGGAAGCTCCACTACCACCATCTGTCCAATACATCCAATCAGTGCAAGGACACGGGATCCCCCGACCACTTTTATAGAAGCCCCTGATCAAACACCAGGTATTCTCCCTTTCTGCCCTGGAAGATCACAAGATTTTCAATTCAATTCAGTTTTATTTATACAGCGCCAAATCACAACAACAGTCGCTTCAAGATGCTTTGTATTGTAAGGTAGACCCTACAATAATACAAAGAAAGAAAACCCAACGATCATATGACCCCCTATGAGCAAGTGCTTTGGCGACAGTGGGAAGGAAAAACTCCCTTTTAACAGGAAGAAACCTCCAGCAGAAGCAGGCTCAGGGAGGGGCGGGGCCATCTGCTGCGACCGGTTGGGGTGAGAGAAGATCTTCTTTACTTTTCAGTTTTTATTTATCAACCGTTGTAAATGCCCAAATGACTATTGGTCAATATATTGACCTTCAACAACATATCAGTCGGGCTCTTCTCTATCTTTTTGTAACTGTGCTACAATTGGGCACTACCAATAAGTTTAAAGGCACTAATTTCAGAGACTTAAACCAATGGCCTCTGCACATTTTGACAGTTAGATAGACTCCTCATGACACGCACAAATGTTAATACTTTTACTGATTGCTGATAGTGCTGCTCAGTCTTTTGCCAGAAGCTAGCTATTTGGCATTTCATTAACCCCAAAGGCAGTTGATATTTAACATTTAAAGCTGACTAATCCTAGAATTTCCTCTTCTGAAGTTACCCGAAACCACTATGAAAGTCTCACTGGCTGCATTACTTTTTAATTTGCCTGGATTTCATTCTTCTTCTTTTCTTCTTCTTTGATTGTTAAGCACAGTTTTTTAAGTTGCACATCCTTTGTGTGGAGTAGCTCTTTAATAAACCCAACCTGGGATTGATGCCATTAATGACCTCACACACTGGTGCTAAGAGACTGAGCTCTATCCAAACAGGCTTAGTGGTCAGTTTATACTGTTGACCAAAACGGAGGGCAGTAAAGTGGCTGAACACAGACGTCATGCGGCGCTTATAGGCGTGGGAACTTCTACATTCTTTGCCCTAATGGAGAATTTACCGCATGTGCTTTTGTGAGCAGCGAACACTATCCAAACAGATATATACCAATCAGGCAATGACATGTTAAAAAAGATAAAGAAATAAAGAACAGATTAAGTGATGAACAGGAAAGATGAGGTTAAAAGTGAGGCAGTCACCCTTCAGAAAGAGTGGCTAAACTGAGAGAGGAGGAAATGTGTGTTTCTCCAGAGCTTGAGGTCTTTCTCCCACTAACAGCCATGTCTAATACCCGCAGCCGGGCTGTTTTGTCTGCTGCTCCAAGGTATCAGCCACAGGTCAGAAGGTAACACTCTGTTTACACGATCATTTCCTAAAGCACTCATGGTGACTCAGTGGTGTGAAAGTTGACTTTTTTCTTGGCCTTTGTGGGGACGGACCAAGAATTGCAACATTAGCTACAGCTACTGGGCGTGAAAGGGTCCTGAGGGTGGGGGGTCCTGGACTTTTGGGGGTGGGGTGGAGGCTGGATGGGGATCTGACTGACCCTCACCCTGGGTGGGGGGCCCCATTAGTCTCGTCATCACAGTTCATTCAGACAAACTGTAACAGTGTCAGTGACATTCT